GGGGGGGAGGTGTCCCGTGGTGTTACCGGTGGGGGGGGTCTCGGGGGGGCTCCCGGGGCAGTTCCCGGGTCCCGGAGCCTCGGCCCGGACGGTTCAGGCCGTTTCTAGAACCGCGGTCGGTCCCGTTTCTATTAATACGCGCCCGGGCGGCGGCGGCGGCGGCGGCGGCGGCGGCGGAGGGAATCCCTGTGACGTCATTGCTAGGATACCAAACAAACACTCCAGACAAGCCCATATATGGCTAATTGCGTCACAGGAACTCCGGGGGGCGGGGACAGGGATCCCCCCCGCTCCCGGCCCGCCCAGGGGCCTCTTAACGGCGGCGGCGGCTCCCGGAGCCTCAAACGGCGGCGGCGACCGAGGCCACGGCGGCTGCGGGGTCCGGGGAGTCTCGGGGGGGTCCCGGGGGTCCCGGAGCAGCGGCGGCGGCTGCCGTGACGTCAGCGAAGGGGGGCGGGGCCCCGCCGTATAAAGCGGCGGGGCTGCCGTGAGCAGTTCATTCATAAAACCGGAGACCGGTGGAGCGGCGGGAGCGTCACCGGGGCTCGGAGCGGACGTGCCGGAGCCTGGCAAGGGATTTACCGGAGCTTGCGGCGGCCGAGCGGAACTTTGTGTCGGGGATCTTGGGACGGATGTACCGGGGCTTGTAGCGGCGAATCGGAGCCAGGCACGGGCGCACCGGGGGGCTTTGTACCGGACAACTTTGGAACCCGGGACGGGCGCGTCGGGACTTTTTACGGAGCAACCGGAGGCTGGGACGGATGGACCGGCGTGTGTAAGGGACACAGCGGGGCTTTGGAGCGGCGGACCGGAGCCTGGGACGGATGTACCGGAGCTTATAGAGCAGAACCGGAGTCTGGGACGGGCACGGCGACGCTTGGTACCGGCAAACGGAGGCTCGCGGAGGCGCACCGGAGCCCGGCACGGATATACCGGAGCTCATAGCGGCTCACCGGGACGTTGCACCGGCACGCCGGAGCCCGGCACGGACGCGCCGCCGGCTCTAGCAGCGGACAGGAGCTCGGACCGGCCAACCGGAGCTTGACCGGACAAGCCGGGGCTCACCGCACCGAACCGGGGATCGCCACAGACCCCGCAGCGAGCCCCTCCGGGCCTCCCCCCGCTTCCCCGAGCCCGCAACCCGCCGTGCCCGTGATGCCGGTAGCGGCGTGACCCGCAGCCTTGTCGCGGCGGGGCGGCCCCCGCGCCCCCGGGGCCATGTTCCAGGGCTTCCCCGGGGACTACGACTCGGGGTCCCGCTGCAGCTCCTCGCCCTCGGCCGAGTCCCAGTACCTGTCGCCGCTCGACTCCTTCGGGAGCCCCGCGGCCGCCGGGGCCGCGCAGGTGAGCGCCGGGAGCGGCGGGGGGGGGG